AATTCTTGTTGTATTTGCTGTATAGTTACACGCACTTCCTCCTCCAAATGAGCTTGTTCATAGCTTACAATCCATTTCATTAGTTTAAAAGAGACTTCATCCAAAACTGCTCTCCATTCCTGTTGAAATATCTCATCAGACAGATCAGAGAGGATTTTTTTTTAATTCTTAACCCTCTCAGTATCTGTTGCTCTCTTAAACATTGTGCTGCCACAATAGTTGTATAGAAATATGACAATTCATAGCCATAGTTAATATTCATACAAATGGAATGAGAATTTATATAGTTTATTTTCCTTAAAGGAGAACTATGAGATGAGTGATTTCCACTCACCTCATAGTTCTAGCCGATCTGTGACAATGAGACTCACAGGTCGGCTCAGTAGATCGGGAGGTGAGTGAACTTGGTTTATTCAGGGCTCTGTGAGGTCTCACCAGCCTGGTTAAACCCCACAGAGACCTGGTGAGACCCCACAGGCCTGAGTGGGGCCTCATGTTTAGGTTTCGCCTAAGGCCTCGCAAACTCTAGAGCCGCCTCTGATCACAGGAGTACCAAGCAGCTGGTGCCCAAGGTTGAAGAAGGGCCTGACGCTGGGCCCTGGTAGGGGAAATGGCACTTTCGGCATTATGCCAAAAGTGTCATTTACGGCCGACATGTTTCGGCGGCCGATATGTTTCGGCGGCCGATATATCGGTGCATCCCTAATATAAACGGCTGAGCTTGCAATCGGTTTGAAATCCTGCAAAGTTTTTTTGAGAGAAGTCTATAATCTATGTGTGCTGTTTTTTTTTTTTCTTTTCTGGGTGTTGGGGAGGGGAGAGAAATTCCTGGGTCCGGTCAGTATTAAAGACGGGCCTGGTGGAAGTAAAGGTATTTGGTGAGTTCAGCTATCTGATAAGGATTGTCCGCAGGGATTACATCTGTTTATACAGGCGAGGTATAGAGGTCTCAGCAAGGAATAAATCGCTAAGCCCTCGTTCACACCTGAACGTTTTGTAGCGTGTTCTACGCTCGACGAACGCTCTACAAAACGCTCAAAAATATAAATCCCATTGTATTCAATGGTCTCGTTCACACCTCGGCGTATTTCCGCCCGTCCCTAACGCGCTACAAAACGGCCCACGCCTGAAAAGGTACATGTACTACTGGGCCGTTTTGTTGCGCGTTTCCATTGGGATACAGCCAAGTAGCCTTCGGAAACGCACGTTTGTCGCGCGACTTTTTTACCGCGAATCGCCTAGGTGTGAACGAGACCTTATACAACAATCAAGAATAAGTAAATAAGTAATGCTTGTGGTGCTTGCTAACACAACCGCCCCCCCCCCCC